ACACTTATAATTTAATGCTCATAATCTTACATGAGTATGCCAATGTTCTGTCCAGCACAGACACATTATTTGTTATAACTGGTGTCTGGTTATGAAAAATTAATACTGTAAACAAAATGCTTATTACTGTTATACAAAACTTATGCATTAAGCCTGTCTGTCTGATCAGACCCATATTTAATTTGTAAGGGTTATTAAGCTGATGAGGCAATTAAGAAACCTTTGATGCTAATTTGGCAACCTTGGTGTTAATAAGCTTACATAAAATTACATGGAAGACTACTAAAATGCACCAGTACAGGACAGGAAAAAAACATAATTATACTTTACTACTTCACATCAAGAGCTTTCTGTTGTGTTTTATTTAATGCCCAAATGTGTTTTACATTAAATAGGCTACCAGGAATCCTTTTAGAAATGCTTTATAATGCATGAGTTAAGACAACAGCCCCGATTCCTGGTCAAATTAGTCTGGTCTGCAGACATTTTTATGAGTGAACTAATTACTAATTACACAAGTGGTTTGTAAGTGAACCTGCTTGGTGGCCTTTGTGATTTTAATTGTTGTTATCTTGAAGAATGGCACTGCATAATTCTACCAAGATGCCAGAGGATGGATGAGAAATTAATAATTTACTGTCCTTAGAAAAATACTCAGCACGCTCGATTTCAGTAGGATTGATGGCAGGAGAGGTTAACAAATTTTAGCAGCTTTCATTAGGGTTCTATTGTCATATGTTTGTGGCGGTTGGTGAAATAAGCTTTGTAGAAAATTTCGAGCTAGAGAACTAATTACTTGTGCCGATTGCCATGCTGATGAATAGACCCTTTTTGTATCGTTCCCTGAAGACGGGGAGCGGCTGGTGATTCACGGCTGCATCACGGCAGATATTTGATAATAATTTTTATAGATGAATGTAGGAAGCCAAAATGATGAAGTGCCTATTTGGATTTTGAGACTATCGCAGACAAACATATACCAACAATTGTAACGGGGAGGAAAATCTGCTTCTGCCCAGACGTGACATGATAGAGGGTTTTTAATTTTCTCTTAAATACAGTAACCTCAGGAAAAAGAAGAGCTTTCAGCTGGAGAAAAGGGAAATACTAACAGAAAAGTCTTGCAGAGCTGTGGTTCATTTCATTAAGAATATTAATTATTGTTGCAATTTTTCTTTTTCTTTTAGAATTGTATAACTTTAAAATTATTAAGAATTTTATTTTAAGATTTGTTACATTCTTAAATTAATGTGATTCCAGAAGTCGTGAGCTACTTCTTTTTAATTTTATAATTGCAGATCTTGAGAGTTAGGTGTACTCCAGAGAATGCTTTTTTCATAATTTGTTGGCCACACATTTTCTCTTGCAGTGCTTTTGCACAGCTGTATTCTTTCTTGGATAATAAAAATTTGTGCAGTGCCACAGGTTTGAAATATTGTTCTAATAATGCGGGCTGTTGGATAGTCAACTCTACTGCTGCCTTGTTGGAAATGTTGCTTTTCTACAGTGAGATATTAAATAGTAATGTGATTTCGTCTGTGTAGTTGTAAATCAACTCTTTAGAATCCCCTTGCACAAAGAGTGGCAAGATTCCTTTGTATTTCTAAGCACTATAAAAACAGTATTTAGATAAATCTAGAAATTGATGGCTTTCATTAAGACTGAAATACAAGTCTTTAAAGTTATTTTTTTTTAATTGTATTTATTTTCTTCTTTGGCAGCAATTCCCATCCCCCGTTCAAGGCCCCAGTGTAATAACTCATATTGGGCTGAAATTTTGTGTTGATCCTTTGGCAAGAACGCAGCACAAGAAGCCTGATCACTGCAACTGAGGAAAGACAATTTTCTGGGGGGCTGGGTTTAAATTTCTCATTGTTACAGCAATGTAGCTCGGTCCACTTCTGATCTCAGAAAAGAACAGAGGGAGCAAGACTGGCAGAAATTCTAACGGTTCTCCCATGATTGGGAAAGTTTTGTGAGAAATGTACATGCTGTACAGTATAACACAATATCAGTACACATTTAACTAAAGTATAGATAGACAGCATGCCTTTTATTCTAACAAGATTTCCACTAATGCATTTTTTTATGTAGGCTCTTTAACAAAACATCCCAAGTCATCCTATCAGAAAGAAAAATTACAGAAGGATGTGCAAATGTAATTTAAACGAATCAGCAGTCTCAGAGTTGCTGAAATTATCTCTTTCGGGGAGATAATTCCAAAGTTCTGGTGTGATGTAACAATTCATACTCACCTATAGTGGGCATAATGTTGTTCTTGGGATGACAAACAATTTGGATTCAGTTGATTGGAAAGAACGAGATGGAATGTAGAGATTAAAGAAATACCTAAAATCACTAATACAGGCAGGTATCAAAAAGTGCAGGGTCAGACCTAAGATCATTAACTCGATTCAAAACTTGCAGAAATGGTCAGTCAGCGAAGGTGCACAGGTAATATATACACGAAATACAGTTCCAATAAATTTGTTTACATTTGTTAGTAAAAGTAAAAATAAATCTGTTCACCTGCATTACAATTTGTATTGGAACCTATGAAAGTTGTTAGCAAAACCAACAGCAAACTGGAAGAATTACAGTAATAGCTTCTTGACAAAATAAAATGCACAGCAGCTTCCCATCTCATATTTAAATAATGCTCAGCAATATTTCATGAATGAATGAAAAAATTAAACTAGACATATTGCTGATACGGGATTCAGTAGTCAGATTAAAGTCAGTGACTTTACCAATGATTTTGGCCACTGTAGAAGAATTGAATATCAAGACTGTCAAGGTCAGACTAAATCAACTATATTTCCCTGGTTGAAACAACACAGTTCCAATCCCAAAAGCTGAGACGATCCTTAGCAGTCTGGCATCCATTACTTTGCTTCACAGCCGGCAGTAAAAATTCTGCGTTATAATGTTCTCCGAGTCTTGTCAGAGCAAGCTGGCATTGGACAGATCCCAATAAAACAAATGCATACTTATTAGTCCACAATAATTAAGTCCATTGTTGCAGTTTTTGTTGTTTGTCTTCTGCAAGTTCCGCAAGCTATATTGAAATTCAACAAGGTCGTCTGCTCTGCTGAAAGCTGTGTGCTTGACTTTTGCCTTAGAGCCTCAAATATTGGTCGTGTTTTTTTACAGTCTCCCTTGGGTTCATGACTTTGAATGACCTGTTTTCTTAGAAACATTGTATTGTGTATCTTATACCATTGTAGGAAAGCCTGTTCTTCATTGTTTTTCATAACGGTGTAGCCTTCTTTTAAGCATGTCTGCTTTCTAACATATTGTTTATGTGCAATTTCCTTTTTCTGCACAATCTGGGTTTGGTTTGCCATTTCCACAGGAGTTAACCCCAAGAACCACCTGTTTCACAATACATTTATGGAGTATATTTGTAATCAATAGTGTTGTATTTTATTTTTGCTGTTGAAGCTTTGGATGTGTATTGTAGAAATGTTTTATATTTAAAACTGAAAGAACTACTGACTTTTAAAACATGTTTAAATGCTTGAACTATTGTTTCTATTTAATGTGTATATGATCAACTTCTGCACTTAGTGCTGTAACAGTTGTCTTTACTGGATCATTTTTTTCATACTCAAAATTAAATTATCCTTGCCGACCAATACAAGCCTAGCTTTTGAAAAGTATATAAAAGTATATTCTATATAGCTTTATATAATTATGATTTTTCACTCCAGGAATTATCTGAATAGCTAATAACGCTTGTCCCATCTTATTTGGTCTGCCACCTTATATCCCAAACTGTGCCCAGCTCTTAACCACTTTTATTATGAATAGTAAGATTAAAATGCTTTTGGACATTCTGTAAAATATGCTGACCTAAACAAGGAGACATGTATCAAGAGGGTGCTTAAATAGTCATTATGCTGATTTATATATCTCGGGTGTTTAGGCCCTGTTGCACTATAAAACTTATTCTCACTTCAACAAAGCAAAATGGACTTGCAGAATTGGATTTCACATCTCTGCTGTAAATCTACCCATAGACCTTTAAGGCTATGGTAAAATCATTTAGTGTACAGCAGCAATGCAACTGACTAGATATAATGTTTTCCCACAAATAGAACAAAATAGAACGTAGCATACAACAGAAGCAGAATACAAATGTATATGGGTGACAAACCATTTTACCTGCGAGTAATACCATACAGACCACCATCAAACAAATCTTTCTTTTTGTTTTGTATTTTGTAATTAAACGTAGATGTATATCCGTGTGAAAGGGGAAGTAAAGCATTCCATGTAATTTACTCTGACGAATAAATTTCTGTCCTCTTCTGCTGAAATGTGTTCTTTAAAATAAGCAAGAGAAAACAGTAATGGAAGGAAAATGCATTTCCCTGTGTTGTTATGCCTCAGGGGCTAAATGTAATGAATATTTTAAGAGATTATTTTAATTAAATTCCTGCACGTCTAAATAGAGTAATATTTTATTATTGCGCACATATCCATGGCTACAGTGTCGTTCATTAAAAGTTAACACTTTCTGGGTCTGCAGTGTTGCGGAATGATTTACTGACCTTGTGTGGTAAAAGGCACAAATTGGGAAGAAAAATGATGGAAGGCCCAGACATTGATTAATATTGGTAATGGTATCCTGTATTTATAATGGCCTTTTCCCTATTCTGGTTTATAAGTGGAGTCACAGCTAAAGGTGCCCTGCTGAGGCTGAAATGAGGCTGAAATCGGAGCACATGCCACTAGAGTGTGGGGAAACTGATCACTCTGTCAGCAGTTCATTTCAAAATGATGTATTTAGTGCTCATTTCACCTTCCTAGGAAAAAAAAGGGAAAGGAGTTCCTAGGTCTGGAAGGTGATATTGTTATTTTCAAGGACATACCTAAGTTAGGGATTGTGTATGAGAGGAAAGAGGGAGCAAACAAGGCAGGCTTTATGCGGTACTTGTGTGATACCATGCTGTTTGATAATTGCTAACATATGTGCTACCTCTGTTTCATTGCAGTCGTCCCCGTGAGTTCTGGCGCCTTGACTACTGGGAGGATGACTTGCGGCGCCGGCGACGCCTTGTGCGGAACCCCTTTGGATCCACACACTCCGAAGCCACACTGAAGGCGGCGGCAGAGCACGGTCAGTTCCCCTCAGAAGCGCTCTGTGCCTGTGGCGGCAGGTACACGGCAATAAAAATTAGAACTACAGTTGCAATAAAAATTTTATGGTGCCACAAGACACAGTAAAAACAGCCCTCATTTTAATAGTTCACACAGTTAATTTTCAAACAGCCCCACGTTAATAAAAGAGTGCACACCAATAGCTGTAGTGGGCTTGAGGCTGTCCCTCCTCGTGCTTCAGAAAGCGTTTTTATTTCATTTCGCACAAATCGAACTTTTGTGTTCCTGTTTTGTGCATGTCATTGCTGAGAATTGCTGGTAAGTGCTTATAGCATGACCAACACCTGAAACTGCAAGGTTGTCTGGTCAATTTTTTAAATCGATTTTATTGTGTTGAAAGCTCAGCTTGAAAGTAGATAGCAGTTTTGTTGTGTTTTTAGGCCCGTTTGGCTATCACATGGTTTCAGTTAAGCATTTACTGTGATACAGAATACCTCTGTAGTTGTGAAAATAACCTGTGAAGACACTAAAAGGAGTTCTCCAAATTCCATATTTTTAATATGAGATAGCTCATTAATGAGCTGTGATGTTAGATAAAATTTTATTTTTTCTTAAATGCAGCAGAGCAGTCAATTTTCTTTTTGATTACTGCATTAATGGGTTTGTAAATTAGCACTCTTAATCTGTAACACAGCTGTGTTTAAGATTGTGATTTTCTGAGCTACCTTTTGAGGTTTCTTTTCAGCCTCCTGTATACCAGGATTAGATTAACTATGCTTCTGCAATGACGTACTGTAGTCATATGTAGTTTCTGGCATAATTTCTTATAAGAAGACCAATATTCTACCTTCAGTTAAACCTTCAGTTATTAGAATTAAAAAACTAAATTTTGATATTGATTTTCTCGGTTTTTCCAAAGCAGGTTTTTTGTATTGTAAATTGAGAAGGCTTTTTCAGACTGTTGAAAAACAACTTTTATATTCATATTTTCCATTGATAATAATTTAAGTAAAAAAACTAAAATAATGTGCAGATTTGGGACTCTTCTTTTTAAGTAAAAATATTTCTGTTCTTTGCAATTTACAAATCTAAATGTATTTTCATACATTTTATTAGTATTCATATTTTACTTTGCATGAAAAATCTAGGAAAAAATTGTCAGTGATTGAGCAGGTGCTAGGCAGTCAGGGGCTCCAATTTGTGAAAAAGAAAACACATATAATAGTAAATGGTTCTTTTCATTTGGGGGACTCTGTGTTTACAGATATACAAATGTCCAAAAAACAATAATGGACAGTTGTGGAAATCATTTATATTATTTATATATCTTTTCGTTTTTATACCCCAAAGAAAAACAAAATATTTGTCCCCTAGTAATACCTGTTAAATTAGAGTTTCAGTGAAATTATTAACGGCATTGACTGTACTATTGCTGGAAAACTATTTATTTAATTTGATATTATTTAATTGATTATTTTCCTGTGCTCAAGAACTAAGTAAGATGTCATGATTTATACTTAATGCTAAAGTAACCTTTAGATTTCGATAACACTATATGTAAGCAGACATGAGCAACTTTAAAACAGGTTTTTGGAAAAAAAAATATTTTTAATTATGTTTATTTGCTTAGTCAATATGATTTAGAATAGCAATGCAGAATACAGTACTGACTAATCATGAATAATTGCAAGCAAGGTTCTGTGTAAGGTTTAATTCTGACTGCTCATCCAGTGTGCAGGAAACTGTCGTTTCTAAAATCATATTTTGTCTCTCCTGGCCAGACCAGTCTATCCAATCAGCAACATTTTGGCTTCAGTTTACCAGCTTAACCTATTGCACTCTTCCTTAAAGGGCCATTTCTGGGAGAAAATGTCTACAATATGTCACAAGATAGCACACCAAATGTGACATCAGTCCTCAAGATAAATGACCAGCATGACAGAAGTCAATAAGAATGTGATCTAAAAGCAATAACTGTTCCAAATCCCAGAATCCTTAGAGACCAGCAGCAGACCTAATGGTTGTAATGTGCAGCTGGAGGATGATCCTGAGGGGTAGCATACTGCCTTTGTTTCATACAGTAACCTTCCAGTGGTGTTTTGGTTCTTTCTAGAAACTTGTAATATGTATCTGCATTTAATGTTCTGAAAAAATACTGTGTTTCTTGAGCCTTGTAATTTAGTGACTTAACCACAAATCAGTCTCCTGTACTGTAATCCCCCTGCTACAAAGCAGACGATATTAGAGTTTTTTTTTAAAGACGTCCCCCATGACCAGTTTTCTTGGTATAATTCGTAGTCAATTTATAAAGAACTATCAAATGTGACATTTTTTTAGATTTTGCCTTTTTCTTTTAGCAGAAATCAGGAAAGGATCATTTTTACCAAATGTGAATGACAGGTCGCCCCTCTCCCTCTCTCAAACCCCCCCCTTGTAACCACTAGTTCCTTTAAGTAACTGTTTTGCTTCACACACTCCGCATCAAAAGCAGCCAGTGCTGTGGTCAAATCAAGGAAGGAATGGCTTGACCTCTGGAGTAAAAAGGAATAATATTACTCTGTTCCTCTTTTTCCCCAACAATACGTGAACATCGAGGTTTCCATAATTAAAATCTTATGTCTCTCAGCTCTCGATTCCTTGTTTTTTACTTCTGTCCACATTCAGGGCAAGCTTGCTGAGCGGTTGACGAGGATGGAGTTTAAAATTTTGAATTGGAGCAGAAAGGTCATATCTGGCTGTAATTATTTTCATCACACGAACATGGGAAGTGGAAACTTTGACTCCTTTTCAAAAAAATAAACCGATTAAGTGCATGATGGAGTCAACATTTAACATTATTTCAAGCTACTGGCGAAAGTTAGGGCTCTAAAGAAGTAGTTTATAGTGCCTTTACGTTACAACTCAAAAAAACAGCTACTAGATTAATACACATCACAAATGCCCTTTAATACACTGATATATTTCCTTTTTTTCCCCTTTTGGTGCTTTCCAGGATCCATTTGTAATAAAGTTCAAGGGCAGTTATTGCTAAGAAAGATTTTTAAAAACGTGCAAAATGCTCCTGTTTTAGGACATGCACCCCAGCACAATTGTGATCATTCATAGCTGGCCAAGAACTTCAGAACAATTCACACTAAAAACCCCAGAGCGAGGCCGTTCAGTGGAGGCTAGTTATATATTTATGGCTGGAAAGAGCCATCTTTTCTGGGGATTGATTCGGTCTGGATGAGGGCCTGTGGTGCAGAGGTGGCAGAGTAAATACCTGAAGACTAATGTCTCTGTTCTGACGATCAATACCAGCCTCATGACTACACTCCTGGCTACACTCTTGTTAAAAACAAATTTGTTAATTCTGACAATTTAATTGCCCTGCCTAAGTCTGCCCTTAGTAGCATATAAATGAGTATTTGAGCCACTCAGTAAGAAACATGACTTTAAATAGTGTCATGTAACAGGTATTATTTACATTTGTGCTTGGCCTTAAGAAGAATGATTTCTTTAACTGGGTTTGATATGCATATTTCTTTCAATTGGACAGCAATTCCAGAAAAAAGGGTTGTTTAAAAGATTTTTAAGTGCAGTTTATTATTAGTTTTGCACATAAACACATCACACTGTAGTACACATCAATAACCTTTGGAGATTTTTTTTAACAGCTTAGGGTGAATATTGTAATATGTGAAATGTGTGACTTTTTTTTGTTCCAATCACTGCACAGTGTCACTTATTGAACAATCCAGAGCTTTGGAGGGACATCACACATCTTCAGATTTATGCAGCAAAGAGGCTGTTCTGGTTTTATAACTGCAGTCTTTATTTGGAAAAGGTTGCAAAATTCAAAAATGAAAGACAATTTGTTTATTTTCTGTGTTTGAATTGTTAATGATCTATGTCGTAAAAAAGACTTCAAAAGAAATGCAAGTGCAAAACAATACATAAAATTACTTATAAAATATGTGGCAAAGACTAGGTGTCTTTTGTGTTTTCTATCCACAGAAAAGGTTAGACAGTGTGCTTTTATACGTCCATTTTTTAAATATTTCATTCTTAGTAGTTTAAAAGCTTTTCAATTTTGGCATTAACTGTACCACTCCAGTACATTGTAAAAGACTACCAGAAATATTACAATGTACCATTTTAAAAAAGAAGAAAATATATACTGTATGTATTACAGCTATTATCACTAGAATTGTATACACTTAACTCTACCTATAGAGATGCTGAAGTCGTGGGACTTGACCTACTTCTGTGCTGTATTTAATGCTCATTTGTATATGTACGTTAAGCATGTATTTTGTGTTTGAGCTGGCTTTTAGCTCCTTGTTTTTATTTTGCCATGTATGTTCTATCTTTTTTACACAACTGCATATAGTAAATTAACACGCCTTTTGATTTCGTGTGTTTTGTTGTGAGATGTGTTCACCTGATAAATCTCTTAAAAGGAACATATTAACCCTGTTTCGCAATTTTGCGTAGCAAGGGCAATGCACTGTGGGTATCTGACATTATAATGGTTTACCCTTAGGTCTTTCCTTTAAAAGTAAGTGTTTGCATTAAATTTTTGATCATTGTAAATTCCAAATATAATACATCTTTTGCTACCAAAAAGAAATGCCAGTAGCTAAAGGTAATACCCTGAATCTTGTGGCAATCAGTGATATGTAGGAGAACATGTTAAATGTGACTGGGAGTGGTGTAGTTTTACTGTACTTCAAAGACCTACAGTACAGTGACGTTCTTCCATTGAAAATTTGTTTACACACTTATACTGTATATGAGTACGTCTAATACTGACATGGGAAGCATATCATTTTTTTGTTACTCATGTCAGTGTAAATATATGCAGAACACCCAAGTCAAAAAACACAAAGCTGAACACTTGTACGAATGTTTACCAGATGATGATTTTGTCATTAGTGCAGGTGAAAGGTCATGAGGACATTTTTAAGGAAATACAAAAGCAGTTTTTTCTTTTCTGTTGGTCTTTTGTTGTGACTAATAAAAAAATCAGTTTTTTCACATTCTTTTTTTTTTATTACTTATGAGCATTGTATTTATTATCATTCAAGAAAAACTGTTCTTCGGACAAAATCGTTTCTAATTTCTAGTTCGAGTTTTGCTGAAGTTAAGCTGGTCAGTCACTGTATTGGAAAAGAAAATAGTGATGCAAAGCAGAGTTCTACAGACCAAACATTTTATACCCTTTTATGCAGCCACAATTGTTACAACAAACATTTCAAACACAGTTACTAATGATACGTGGTACATGGACACACCTTTCAACTTAGTGCACTTTCCATGTTATCTGGATATATTCATACGTTAAATCTTTTAAACAGAGCATATTCACCATGTTTTTTTTTCACAGTTTTTCATGTATAGGACAATGGGTAAATGTAATGAAAACAGCTTACCCTACACTATTAAGCTATAACTATTAAATAAAAAAATATGCAGTCAATGTAAAAAAATTATGAAATATTTTGGTTGATATTTTTTTCTAAAACTTTTGCTGTAGGTCACAATAAATAATAGTCTGCAAAGGTTCTAGCTGTTGAATTTTCTGGTATGGCTAATCCTTGCCTTAAACTGACAGTGTCTTTATAAATATATTTTTTTTATCTTGTCCAAATGTGAAGATATTAATAATGTCATTTACAACACATGAAAATTGAATATTTTAAAATGTAGTACATTTTTCTGTCACGTCCCAGGCTCTGTCGCAGTTGTGAATACTAACGCATGTGGTGTGTATTAAGAAGCTGGTAGTAATTTCACTGCTGCTAACTAAAAATCCTCAAGGGGGAGTTAATTACAGGAAGACCATTCTAAATATCAGCTAGCTGCATATTTTCCATGACAAGAGATTTTTCAGCTCAGGTTTAACAGTTTGAGAATCTATTTATAAACTGCCTTGCTTTTTCTTATACAAATGAACTAAACTTTGTGAAGAAGCAGTGCTGTTTTTGTGTGTGGAGGGGGACGAAACGAGCTGAATAGGTGAATTCAGTCTGCTTGGATGTATTTCCACCTTGTCCAACTGTGAGGCTTAGTCTCGTGTAAGCTCTTATCAAGGAACAGCAAATTCATACTATGCCATAAACTATTTATTTAAATGAAGAATTCCTTACGCACATACAGTAGATTTATTTAAAGGACCAGTTCAGTGGATTTTGCTATACCACTAGGGAATGCAGTCTTCTATAAATGTTTGCAGATTACCATTTTTCTTAAATAATCCATTTGGAACCTCAAGTCATGTACAGTAGAAATCAAAAAACGTAATGAGGAGAGAACTTGCCTAGCTTTGTTGTGATGTGTTTGGCACATGTTACTGGATATCGGTTTGGCCAGAAATATTGTATTTATTTTAAATTTGTTTTTGATGTTTTAAAGGGACACAGGAAATTGAGAGTTTTAACTGTGTTGCTCCTGCTGTCTTAGAATTGAGACTACCAGACAAAAGCAGGAGATTACATTTTGTACTTCGCTGCTTTTTTTATACATTGATGTTTTTCTAATAGTTATTGTTTAATACTAATAATTATCTGCAAGTCTATAATGCATTCCTGATTGCTTGAAAAATCAGTCTACCTGATAAAAACATGGGGTTACGTACAAAAGATGCAATGTCAGCAATCTCTTTAAAAGTTTTTTTTTTTACTGTATCTGTGATACAGATCTGTTGGCATCATGTGGCTTTTAGTTTGGTTTCTTACAAAGTAAATTTTCCTCAAATAAGCTGTGAATTGCAATTGTAAACTTAACCTTTTGTGTTCAGAGTAACCTGAAAGCTCCCAGGGGTCATTGAATTTCAACTGCATTTTCATGAGAAGAGTAATGTGATAGATTTTGCAGGAAAGCGGCTCAGTCACTTGAGAAAGAGAGTCGCGAAGTTGAAAATTAATGATTTTTGTTTTCATTTGTTGCGTGTATTAGGTTTTATACGCGTCAAAAAACAATATCTTTTTTTATTTATTAAATTGGATATTCTAGCTTAGCATGTGAAGGTTTATTTTAAACTTATACCTGATATGTATCCTATTGAATACAGCAATGTGTTTCTATGTTTAATTTATGTATCGTCTCCGTCGTTTTGATTTGATATTTAAAAATTTCCGTGTTGGTAAAAGCACATTTTGTGAAAGTAGATTACTTCAATAGTTTGCATTTCCACAGACCAGAAATAGTTCCTCTTGTTTTAGCGACATCATAAAATATTGTTCAGGTAAATTAAAGGTTATTTTGGAAGTCTGACCATTGATTACTTCAAACCTACCCCTCCATAGAAATCGGCATTAAAGGCATTTAGCTTAAGCAAACTAACACTGCAACAATGCTATAGTGATTGGTTTTGCTAATAAGACTCCGGGAGGTTAACTTCATAGTTATTTGACCATTAATAAAACAGCTAAATATACTAAGTAAAAAGGTGTTGTTATTTTTTTTTTCGGAAACCCACCTGTTATGAAATTACTACGAAATCAATGTAATTAGCACAAAACAATTTGTCGCGACCGAAAATGGAAAAAGCACAGGTTATTTGTTTTTAATTTTGTTTGATGTTCATATTTTTCCACAAGTCCAAGCCCCACAAAACTGCAATTGATTGAATCTGAAGGCTATTAACTTATTAGTCCTAATGCTCTCATTTGAAAACCCTAGGACTTATTTTGATCGTACCTGTGTTATACCGGTTATGGCAAAAATGGTCAAACTGTCCAAAAACTAAATCTCAACGTTTCGATTCATAAGGGTTAAGTCTGGTTAGATTTTCATAAAACTTTAAGTAGGTTAAATATATAAATGAAATTTCACAGTGCACATAATTTGTAATAAAGTTTGAGATGGCTAGTCTGACTGAAATTCTAAAATGTATTTTAAACAGCCATCGTACTTGCCATTGTCTTTTTATAGTTAGTGTTACTTACCTGCGCTTTGGGTCGAAACCAACATGAAGGTTCGCATGTAATATAGAAGAGTTATATTTATAGAGTAGTCATTCAAACGTGGATGTTTTGATATTACAGCTCCAGAGGAAGACGTCCTCGTGAAAGGCAAACAGTCCATCAGAAGCCAGGCTTTGGGAAATCAGAATTCTGAGAGTGACACGCTCTTGGACGGGGATGATGACACCCTTTCATCCATAGAGGAAAAGGAGTTGGAAAACCTAACAGGTAAAGGCATTCGTGTATTTCAGTCCCTTGGTACCTCTGAAAAGCGTTCTTACCCTTCCTCTGCTATTGCTTCTGCTTTGCCTCGTCTCCGAGAAATAGCAGAGAGTCATATTCAGCTTAAACTGTTAATAAAGGGATCACTTTCCATCTCAAGCGCCTACCATTAGCGCTGACAGCATTCTGTCATTACATGTGCGATCTCTTTTGGTTTCCTTCTTGCCCAGATAAATTTGGATATACATGCAATTCGCTATTTCTATATCTACAATAACCGAGTAACCCAAGTTTTCAAACAATTTTGAGCAGATAGCATTGTAACAAAAGACTTGATGGTTGCTCCCCTCGGAAGCATTTCTTTTTGTCGGAAAAGAGTGAAACCCTTATTATACGATATTCTTCCAACTGATACTCTTTATTTGGATTAAATTGAACAGGAAAACTCATCTGGTTGCACTTGGAATCTAGGAGTTATAAATGGAATACTTTTCAGAAGTGCTTGAAATAGGCTGCTCAAACTATATTCGTCGTATTACTTAACAGTGTATAACTCATAAACGTTTTTTTAAACTGGCTATCTTAATTACTTATTGTAAATGCACACCTGCTGTGAATCCTAAAACAACAATAATTAGTAAGCCGACGAAAACGAAGACCGCAATATCAAATTGAATGTATCCCGTGTAACTATAATAACATGCAGCCTTTAGATTTTTCCCGCGTATGCTACGTTTTCTGTTACCTTTTCGCATTGATCAACTAATTTCTAACACCTGAGGCAGGAGCCCTGGCTCCTCACAAGTACTGTACACAACGTGAGTTCGGTGAGTTCGAATACCGGGCTGACTACTGATGTACAGTAGGTGAGCTCGCTATGTACTGGAAGCACCATCAACTGAATGATTAAACTTGCTGTGTTTAAACTTAAATTGTGAAAAATCTCCCTTTGACTCAATTTTCAGGAACGTTAGGAGAACACAATTATGCAGCATTTTATTAAATAGTAAATCTTATTTACAATAATGTACTTTACGCAGTATTATCAAAATAGACTGTAAACCACCCCGTAGATTTACCTACTAAACAGATACACGTCGCTTACTGTTCTGTAGGCATTGTGAGTCGCGCTCATTTCATCGAGATGACCTTAATCGTGCAAGTGTACTGAATATGGCTGTGCCTTTATTTTATAATATACAGTATGTTTGTGTGCGTCCGACATCGAGGTACGTTCAAATCGATATTTTCTCTGTGGTCTTCAAGACGCGACCACGGTAATGGTTTGAGGAAATGCATGTATCTATTATAAATGGCACTGCTTCAATTCTGAGCTCATCATTATAGTCAGACAGCGCCCTACGAATCCGCCTTATAAACAGCTTAATAACAATATTCTGCTTGACATTCGCCCCATATGCCCAAGCCCCCCGTAATAACATTTGCACTGTAAAGGAGGTGCGCGAGGAGTGTAATTATAAGATCCTGACAATGACAATAGGATTAAAGAGTAATCCCCACTAATAAAGTGCTGTGATTCAGAAATGAAGTGGAAATTGTCAGGGGTCTGTGGCAGGACCCCCAGCGTCCCAACTCCTGCAGCTGCCTGCTCCGGGTGTAATTGAATGTCTGAAAGTGATTGAAAAAATGTTATTTCTCTTCTGGATTACATGCTAATGCACAGAGGGCAAAGAGAGACAGCAAAAGAACATATAGCTGCTTATTTCATCCATTTGTGGGAGTGTGCTTGGGGAAATCAAACCGGTTCTGGAGCTATCTGATGCCCATCTGCAAATACAATGCTTCTGCACATTGGGGATAGAGGGCAAAGCCTGCCGCGAGCTCCCCAGAGCGGCTCTCTCATTGTCATACTGGCATACATTAAGATTGATGAGAGATTAAACACCAAACCCCCCTCTGCAATCAATAGAAATGACAAGTCATTCGATTCTTTTTTAAGACATTACTTGCTCATTGATTAAGCGACGCGTGTACTTCATTCTATTTACCCAAGTACTCAGGTCGAATTTTATTGCAAAGCGTTAATGTGGGTATCATTTTCAAAATATATATTTGTAAATATTACTTATACCGGCTTACCCTGTTTTCATACTGCATGGTTAATTTGAGAACATTTGCCTACAACATTGGAATTAAAGGAGCAGATCGTAGAGGTTAGATAACCCTGAGTACGTGATATGTAAATTAAATAAAAATCAGATAAAAACCCTACAGCTCTACAGCTGTTTATGCCCAGCGCCACACAAAATGGGGGGGGAACTAAATCTGTGGACATGCGTGACGCTTATCAGATCACTTTCGAGTAGCATAACCTAATAGTTAAAATGTATTATTTTGCTTAACCTAGAGAAAATCAGTGGAGATAAAAGCGTTGATTTTAAAATGTAGATCCCTGTTTTTAAAATTATTTACCCTTTGTCTTGTGAAACTAGTTATTTCAATCCCGGAATGCTGCGTGTACCCTTTATGTACTTACGCACAAGAGTTCGAGGTTTCTTCGTTTTCCTCCAGTTCTGTTTCATTTCCTAGACCTTTTATACACACACACACGCACGTAAGTGAGTTTATTTTAATCCTCGTTATTCGTGTTGATTCCCAGGTCCTGTAAACCTCAGCACCGCGGCCCAGCTTGTTGCTCCCGCTGCAGTGGTTAGAGGTACCTTATCCATCACGGCCTCTGAACTTTACTTCGAGGTGGATGAAGACGAGCCCAGCTTTAAGAAAATCGATTCAAAGGTGAGAGAGGGGGTTTAACTCATTGATCTAAAACCTCCAAATGTCACTCGGATTTCTCCTGTGTAAAACAAGCATTTCAGAATCGCGCTAAGGCTGTTCCTGCCTCACTTTTAGCAGAATTAACAACCGGAGAGCGCTTAATTACTTGATAATAGATATTGTAGTGAGACTTATTACCTTAGTTTTCATACATAACTTTAACCGTATTAGTTAAGTCTTAAACTAAAACGAAACATAATGCTGAAATATTCTCAGAAAAAGGATAAATCATATAATATAAATATAAATGCATAAGTGTGTTTATTTGGTGAATAACAATCCCATGACGCGCATTGTGGATACGCACAGAGTGTATCATATGATTTGGGCCTCATAATTGTCCCTTTTCTTACCTTACATACTCGGCTCTTTCCCGTAAGGCAAACTGAAATACTTCTATATATTTAGACTGCAAGATTCGAATACGCTATAGAATTGTCTCATTAAACATTTTTGCTTTACACCATTGCTTTTTTTAATCATTAAAGTCGATTATAACAAGACTATATACATCTATGCATCTGTGACAATGCAGATATATCAAATATAGACTCACATTTCGAATTTAAATATCCGTGTCCAGAAAAAAGAGGGAACGTGGGAAATTATATTGCATTAAATTCACGAAAAGGTTAGCGATAATATTTCAGAATAAAGTATATTCTGTTTAGGAGTGGAATAAAAAATAGTTTCCCTTGAGGTAATGAAGTAGCCATATTCAACTTGTGTTAATTATTGTTTTGTAATAAGCTCATATACAAATATCAGAAACCTCATACTGTATGAAGGGACTCGATACTTAATTGTTGTTTATATAACATTTTTCGTACATATATACATTTTAGGCCTATTAGGTTAAAAGTATATAAATCCCGATTGAACAACTGTTATTAAAAGTTGATGCACATTTTTTTTTACTCTGTGACGAAGTATGTTTTCCAAGACTGCAAACCTGAATATAATTCACGATTTGTTTGGGAGCTGTGGTGTTTCAACGAGTACTCTGGTTAGAAAAATGACAAAGCTAGCAAAAGTGTCAAGTTTTCAAACCATATCTTTGTGCTTTGAGTTTCTCTGTGATTTACCTTAAAGGAGGCCTATATGTTACATAATATATGCAAGGCCGTATTTCATTGTTACACATTTTACACATTGTTAGTCTGTCAAAGTAGGCTTCTAGTGTTATTTAGGTTCCTCAGTTTATTTTCAAATTGCACTAAAGGATTGTTTGAACCAGCTAAAGAATAAATACAGCAAACGTGAAAACTAAAAGTGTGCTTTATAATGGCAGAGAGCTATGTAGTAATATCATAATCAATACTTTTAAATAGTAAATGTATTCATCTTACAAACGTAGAAACCACGAAAACTTTGTTTCTGTAAATGCAAAATGAGTCGTAGAATATTGAATTTTGGAACGTATTGCAGTTTAAACACGCCAAGTATTTTAGATATTGTTTTAGAAGGATGACGTTTTAACCCTTAAATATAATCTATAAAATTTAATGCGGTGGTTTAGAAAATGAGTATACGTGTGCTGTTTTCTTCCTTTCTCCTATTCGCAAAATAATTTACGCAAGGTGCATAGCCGCCAGTCATACCTGCGACACGCTTGTTAATTTAATTACCCCTTTGCTTGTTCACTTTAGATCAACGTTTCTCTTAAACTTCAGAAATCAAAACATCTTGAGACATTTCAGCTTGATCTCAAAGTAAAGATAAAGATCTTAAGTCCTAAAGTTGGGTTTACATTTGCAATGTTGTTTTTGTTTTACTGAACAGCCACAATGAAAATCGATTCAATATTAAAGTAGACATCTCGGTAATAAACTTCATGTTAGATAAACATTGCTCATAGAGCTGGAAGATATGCCTTATATGTAAAATTAGTGTACACTAAAATGTCTGATTACATAAGTGCAAAATCGAAGATGGTTTGTGTTGCTAATTAAACGATTATAATTGAAGTATAATTGTATATACGCATATATGTTTAAAATGAAATAGGAGATTAATACTTTTATTTCGTCGAACGTAGCCAATGAATGAGGCCTACAAAAAGACTATTACTCTTAAGTAATATACCAATATTTATTTTTTGTGTTTCCTAAGACACAGTAATTTATTAATGTTTTAAAATGGTCCAAGATTTGTATTAAAACCCGAACACCCTGCATTTGTAATTTTCTTACCATGTTAAAATTAAAGTTGTTTATTACGCCTTCTCTGTACGGAAATACTATATATAAGTTAATAAAGCACCCTAGAAGGTTGCTTAGTTTCACTTTATTAACATTATGATCTTAGTTGTGACAGACCTAAGTGCAAGTTATGAAATCTGACACAATTATATTTTTTTTCTGAAACGTTTTGTTAAACTATTGTTTCCATTTTCATCTATCGGCGTATTTCCCATAAAACACTTAATTCGCATTTAGCAACACATAATAAAAGTAGAAACTGCGTGACAAATCCTATGTAAATCGTAATGAGGTTTCACATAAAAAAATACAATAAAGTTTTTATCTTTAGCATTGTGCACCAATTTGATTTTTTTAATTGTTCAATTCCTAAAGTCATTCTAATGTAACGAGTTCAGTTCTCGCTTATAAGGACATTTACTGCACATTCATTTCTCAGCAATTAACGTCTTAATTTATGACGTTCAACCAACCAGCGCTCACTAAAATGTGTTAAGAAATACTTTGTTCAATTGAAGACAAAGCCAAATATGAAGGCAAATTATTTTATTACTTTTTTACATTTAAATTTTGAGGGCACATGATCAAAATTTTAACTTGGCACTCTACATTTGATCTTTTTTTTTTGCTTGAAAGATTTGTGCATATATTTAAATAAGTTTCTTCACTTTGTGAAAACATTCAAAAAAAACATTTACTTGAAAATGTACCTTGACTTTTATTCTTGCAAAGTCCCACTTGTTTCTTTAGAAAAACAAAAAGTTCACATTACGTGGATGAAAAAAGGGATCACTTTTTCACTTGCAGTGATGTGATCGAAACGTTCTTTCGCATATGTTTTTTTGCTCTATAATTTGTCCAAACTTTTTGCATTCGTAAGAATTTCTCTTGCTAGTCTCCAAGTCTGTTTTGCTGCTGCTTCAAGCGCCGAGTGAGGTTTTCCTTGAAACAGGTCCAAGTTCGGTAAGAAGTAATGGGGGCATCTGCGGCACTGCAAACACGAGATCAGCTGAAGGAGAATTCCGTTAAGTCGGTCCCCCAGACAGGATTCGTCCCAGTCGGTTTCTCTTGGGTGTTTCTCGCATTCGTAAAGAAGCAAGGTTTTCATGTGGTAGTTGTTGAGAGGCTGTCCCGGTAATTCGAGGTGACGATCGCGGAGAGTCTTAAGGATGGAGAGACATTTCTTCCTGCAGCCGGCCATCAGCAGGCGGTTTTCGGCTTCACTGAACTGCAATACCCAGGCGTCGCTTTCAGCTGAGCTCTGTTTACCAGTTAACGAATAACACTCTTTAGAAAGCAGATTGAAGCCCTCTGCTTTCACTTCTGCTACCCGATTAGGACCCGGCCAGGGAATGTGAGGCATGGGCCACTGGGCTGCGCTTCTAGGCCAAATGCCCGTGCATTTGAACGCTGGCGTGATCTGAACCACGTATCTCTCCCGGATCCTCAGTTTTACTTCACTGGTGTCAGCTACCATCTTAACGACATCACGGTAGCTGCATTTGTCCACTGCCTGGGCCACAAGAGTCTGAAACCTTGATCTTATCTTCCTGGCGGAGAGGTAGCCAGAGGCTGTGATAAACTCTACCCAGAGAGACATGCTTCTTTTGCGCCCATCGCTCAGCTTTAACACAGCGCATCCAGGCAACGACCCATCATCCACAAAGTTGAAAACCCCCATCTGATTCAGGTAAAGAACTACTTCGAATTCATTTGGCGAAATGACCTCCATCCCTTCGTAGCGCGCTTCAATCTCGCTTAGGGAACTGATGAAACGAGGCTCCTGCACTTCCACCTCCTTCAGGACGTCCGATACCACCTTACACACCTCTCTTATAGTCTTAGCTATGGCCGCTTTCCGAGTTTGGCATCTCTCGTTGTAATATTTGTTGAGCTGGTAAACAAGCTTTGCTTGTGCCGCTATCATGTTTGGGCAGAGGTCCGGGCTGTACACCGGAGTTTCGCAATACGTTGACGGATCCAATGCTTACCGGTTAAGCCAGAGGCAAACACTTAAGAGTAATAAAAAAGAAAGTTTGTGGTCAGCGGCAAATAGACTTAAATTGCATGAAGCAAACAGCCGAGAGCACCATCAAATTTCAAGTAAAAAGCGGCTTAGTCCATTTAAAGAGAAGACTTGGGTGTCTGAAAGTAAACGATCTTTGAACAGATGATGCTGGTTCTCCTTTTAAACCCTCTGTTAGCGGACGGAAAGCTGGTCGTGATCGGTCATCTCTTTTATTCCTTTAGCCAGTGTAACTGCGCCTTGTAATACCTTGCCTGCTATGTTGCCCAGACTCAGTTGGGAATGCTGGACTTGTGTAGTTTATGAATGGTCCCCAAGCTGGAGTGAAGGGGGCTGAGCTTCGTGTCCTGCAATCACTGACATAGCTGTCAGGGTAAGCAGCCAATCACAGCTGCACCCTGCCAGCACATTGAACTGGAGAAACACTTTCCTCTTAACATCCTGTGCAAAGCCACGACTCGCCTGTTATGCGGCCAGGTTGAAAAAGGCGAGCGTTATTTACAGCTGTATTACCTCGTTCTCTCAGATGGTTTCACATATTTTACTTAGATTTTGCAAAAGAAGTAATGTATTTTAATTGCAATTTTTTTTCATTTCATTACAAGCTTATCTTTTTAATCTGTGGGTTCTAACATGCTGTATCCTAATTTAGTTTTAAACAAACGATGGGATTATAGAAAAAAAGAACTGAGATGTATAAATCTGCATTTTAGGCAAGTCACTTGATTTTTGCTGTTTTTCTGCAAAGTAACTAATGCAACCAACATCACTGAATTCTGCTAGTAAATTGTTTTAAGTACTAATAGTCCCGTATTTTTGTAGCTTTATTTCGTTATTACCTAATGCCATATGTTCTTTTTCTATTTGAAAGTATTATTAATTTACAGTATGTTGTAGCTCATGGAATATACTGGCCGTTTCAAACATATGGGTGTTCCTGTAATGCAAGACTCAGTTTTTATCCTTAACATTTGCAGTGTTGTGCTTTTCTGTAGAAATCTGACCAGGTTGAACAATAAGCTTAAACTGTGCTGTATACCTGCATGGCTTAGAAATGCATTTTTTTTCTTTCTTGTCAATCTACAATTGGATTTGGGTTTAATTTATTAATACTAACTGTCCTTTTCCCCTCACAAAATATACCGCTGATGTACATGCTCACGCATTTTAACAACAGACGCATTTCTTTATGGTGTGATTGAAGAAAAACAATTGCTCGGGAGGCGAGAAAAGAGTATAGTCTTGGAGTTTGGTGTGCAGCCGCAGAGCCTGCTTAGTGACTTTATACTCCAACAGCAGGAATTTACTGCGCTTTTCCCCCCTCCCTGTCCTGGTCTTTGTAATTTGCTCATTTCATTTGTAAGCTAAGGCGAACAAGAGTACTTCTACTTTGTATCCAGCTTCCTTGTGTATATATTTATTTCTAATAGTTTCTAAAATTGTTAAGTAATCATTGCGCCTTTCCGTTTTCTTTAAAATGCAGCTTTATCCCTGAATTTTAAAGGAACCATTTGGATTTCATTTTCATGGGAACGGAAATGATACGATTTGATACTTTTAGGCATTTTATTATTATTCGAATAAACTTGCTTTTAAAAGCTTCAGATTTCCAAATTATCTGCTTATGGTACAAAGGTAGTCTTGGAAATTTTACATCGGGTGACAGTTACATTATTGTATAAAAAATAAAAACGGCGATCATTGCATTAACTTTTCTCACGTCGGTATGGTTAAAGTAGATGAGAAGCGGTTAGAAGTAATAGCCGATTGCACCTTGCGGCAAAACCCTTGAAGAGGAAGCATGAGATAATAACATGAAACCGCAACTCGGAAACTGTATGATTGCTAATATTGTAACGCTGATTACATGCCTAGTAGTTAATAGCTGCAAGGCATTAAGATAGATTTGAAGAATTTACTGGTTGCATATGGTGGTTGTATTTCTATATACTGTAGGTTAGTGAAACTGATTATTCTTTAAATTTTAGATGATCGCACATTACAAGGACCAGCTGAAGAAATAGCTATTCATTCGCACGCTCCTTTACAAGTACGATATAAAAAAATAAATCGATTCGTTTTTTTTAATTAAAAAAATGTAATAATTCTGGTATGTCTTGCATAGAAAGTAAGTTGTGTTTTAATATTATATAGCTGTATTTAAATGCATGTGATATAGTTGTATGTACAGTAGTTACATCTTAAACGTTTGAGGAATCATATTAATGTGTGTAAATTAAACGGATGCATACGATAAAAAAGTTATTTAAATGTATTAGTGAATATAAGTGACTATAGGTGTATTTAATTCGATATTTTCCGTTTTTTTTTACCTGTTTTGGCCTACTAGTTTCGAAGTTCGGAGTGATAACGGATCGAATAAATGTCACGCTCCTTGCTGCAACCAGAGGAGTAAACCGATTTAGAATATGGTTATGATAACCGTTTTTAAAATGAACGCTTCTAAAACTGACAATCCTCAGCGGAACTTGTCGATATGAATAATTTAAAGGGGCAGTATCGAAGAATGTAATTGAAGAGCCCTTATCGTCTCAGGCTTCATTTCAGCTTGCTTTAAGAGCCTATCCCCGTCTCCTTGAGGGTGTCTTGTAGAGAAGGTAAAGGCGCGGAGTTTTAAAGCAGATACTGACTTATGTGACAAAAGAATAGAGGAAATTAAAGGCTAGTTCATTGAAAGGCACTTGACACTCTTGCAACCAATTGATCTATTTTCAGCCCTCATACACCCTCTTGTCGTACTTGAGTTAATGAGGCGGAGGTCTGGTACTGCTTGGCAGTAAATTCATTAGGGAGTCTGTTGGACATTCTCTTTAACTAAAGCACAGTGTGTTTGTTTGGTTAAGTCCCTGTTAGCAGGTTCATGCCATTACTAGACGCTTTTGTTCTTTATGAGCCTCATTGCCGTCGGGGGTTCGTGAAAAGTAAGCCTCGCTTTAATGTACTGTTCGTTTATACAACGATAATTATTTTTTCTCAACTCCAGATCAAAATTGCGAATTATCTGTTTTATCATTAAAGGAGTTTTTAGATTATATAATATTTTGAGAAAACTGACCTCCTAAAAAACACAACTGCAAGAGTATGTTATTTTAAAGCTTCAAAGACCATATCATTTAAGTTAAGGAGAATTTACATAATTATTGCCTAGTCGAAGACATTGATGTTTATTTGGTACAGTGATGGCCTCTCTCTTTATTTCTAACTGTTGCATTCACAAAAGTCGTCCAACTGATGTGTTTTCCATTTGAAAAGAATAGGTCTGTAGTGTTGGTAATGATCTATAATATAATAAGTATCTAGAATCAATATTGTAGAAATATAAAAAAAACATTATTTAAGTTTTTAGGCATTTATATATAAGAGATTATACTATGGCTTAACATATATTAGCTAAAATGGACTACATATGGCTAATATGGTGGTGTTACATATAACACTCTTTTTATCATTTGTAATTTTGCTCTGCATAAAAAGAGTTTCAAATCACAGAGCTAGCTATCTGTGTGTTCTGCTAATCTGTGTGTAAAAGCAGTCATTAAAGAAAACTTCTAACTTTGTTGTAGAATGCAAATTCAGTCACATTTATAATGTTTTATTTTTATTCTAAAATTTAACTGGAAGGTAGAAATGTCAATAAACTTGCACAATGACATGTATTTACGCTGTTGTCTTTGCGCATGAACACTTGTGCGTAGTTTGTGTGCATTACATCCGAACAACTTTGCACAATTTGAGAAGCCAGAATAGAAGCTTTTATGTACTGCAGTCCGTTGGCTTGCTGTGCTGTTCGCTTGCACATTCCTCCAGTCTTCTCTTGAACATTCTCAAATCTAGTGCTCTGTTTAAAAAAAAAAACATGCTGTTTCCTTTTATAGAAGTACAGTATGGGAAAATAACTAATACCCATATCCTGTCATTTCCATACATTCTTGCTCTGGTGATGAAGCTCAAACTGCTTCAGGGCAAGTGCAGATCTGAAAACAAATGATTTGCTGGTGCATGCTAAGTTTTCTTAATACAAAGCCAAGCTAATGGCAGCCCTAAATGTCAAAAAGCCCTAATCCTATAAACATTAACAGATAAATGGTAGGATGTCTTAATTAATTTTAAGTTGGTACTTTTTTTATTACCAAGATATTAAGTTCATTTTGAGCAGGGAAAAGCCTCTGGAGTAAAGAGTGGTGGTGTTGATGTTTTAATGACATTAAACAAAAGTTATTTTGTAGAGCCAACAGAAAGTACACAAACTGAATGCTTGATTTCCTCCAATTTAGTTCCTAGCCTTGAAGAGCTTCTTATCCTTTTAAGTCATATTAAAATGTGCTGTTTTTTGAAAGTCTGCTTTGTTGTTTTTACTGTATTTTTAAACATTTTAAGTGTTTTTAGAATTTCGATGGAAGCAGTCCAAGACCGTAACAACTGCTAGAAAAAGAATAGGTAGCCTTTTATGTTACTTATGTTTATGTTAACGTAGGGCATACCAGTTGTTCAGTAATGGCAAGTCTGAAGTCATTGCCATTTTAAATGTCAATTGATGTTGCGTCTACTTTCCTAATTTTTAAATCTAGAGGATGTCAGCACTTTGAAGAAAGCAATAAGAACAAAAACAAGACATCCCTGCTAGAAACTGGCTGTTATCCGTGCAGTATCAAATTTAATGTTTATAAAGTTGCCTGAAAAAAACACTGCTTATTTAATTTGGTGTAGAATTCCAAAACATTTTTGGGGGTAAATATAGTATGTAAGCTGTTTCAAATAAGATGATCTTCAGTTCTAGGTATCTTGCAATTTCTTTTTCTTTTTGCAATTTAACTGTTTTTAAAAGGGAGTTCAAAACATTAAGTAGAATCCTGTGCCTCCCACTCTTGAAAATCACAGCCAACACATCTAAGAGTATACAGTATATACTATTTCACTTCAGAATTAAAAAAGTGTAGATGCCATCATGAATTAAATTACTTTGGCTAGCTCATATATTGCCTACTGTGCTATATGCATTCTTGATCTGCTTTTAATTTGCTCTCCTATAACTATTTCCATTTACACTGTGCATCAGCTATTAGATCATAACTTTATCTCTTTTGTTGAGGTAGGTTTCGGTTTTTGTCCCATTAGGTCTGTCTGTGAACTTGGATGTGTGTGTTAACCTATTGCGTCACTGTGGCAGCTTGGACCACTGCCTCCAGCTGTACAGTTGTACAGCTGTACAGTACAACAACAATAATAATAATTGCTTACACTTATATAGCACTTCTTCTTGACACTCCGCACAAAGGGCTTTACAGGT